CTCTAACGGTCAGAAAGAGATGTCACATGTCAAAATCGAAGAATGGGGGCCAGAGAAAAGGAAAATCCACCCAAATGGCCCCAGAAGAGGTTTTTTTTTGTCTAAAAAGGTCAAATATCACTTGTTTTGCATCGATCTTGATACAGGGTACTTATTATATATTGTACTTTGGATTCCTAAAGCTTTTAGTCTACTAACCCATCATCCAAGGTTAGTTTTCACTATAAGTACAAAATATGTTTTGGACGGACACTATAATTTACAGTTTTTTAACATGTTCAATCGGAATTTTCTTTAAAATAAAAAACATCTATATTGAATCTGACTTTTCTACATCCAACTGACAGGTTTATCATTACTTTGAGAAAAAAGATTATTGATTTAACCCTTTTAGAAGGGAAGATATGGTCATTTGTTCTGGGAATGTCATTTTCGAGCATGAAACCTGAAAAACAGGCTCGGGGTTTAACAGGTTAAGAGCAGGTTAACTCAAAAAGACTTCTTGTTTCAAAGTATATTTTTTGGAGATGTCTACATAGTTTGATAACTTACTATTTTGGCATAAAAGTCTTTGGGCATCTTTGACAAAATGTCCACGGCTTCCAGCAGTTCGTAAGGATCCACTGCTGCTACCGTGTCCGCCTCATCCTCTCCTGAAAATGGAGAAAGAGATGGCAGCAGATCATGAATCTTCAACTCCTCAACATCAAAGACAAGTTTTTTTATGTTTGCCGTTTTTTCTACTAACCATCAGACGGTTCCCCTTGGGCTTGGTGCTGTTCAAACTTTGCCTTCAGGTCCTGCTGTGAGCGCAGGAACCTGGTCTGCTTGGGAGGAGATGAAGGCAGCTTCGCCCACTCTTCCTCCAGCTCCTTCAGCTGCAGGGACAGAGAACAAACAAGCAAATGTTTAGTTTCCCTTGATTCTGAAAGATGAACATTAGTAGGATGGCAAGGGTGTGCCCTGAAGAGTGTGTCCAACCTGAACTGAGTTAATATTTTGCAGTGGAGGTCTTAGAGCATCTCTGATCCATTTGTAGATCTCAACAGAGAGCAGCTTGACTTCATCTCTCACCGCCTTCTCTCTGGACTCAAACTGTTTGGATAAAACCTTCACCACTGGCTTCAACGTCACGATCTTAGATCCAAACTCACTGTAGAAATAAGATGACCAACAGAAAGGTGAAAGTGGTGAGTGTCATTGAGAGCTTTGATTGACATGATAAATTACTAGTATGACTTTTTTGACCAGCAGTAAAAAAAACTGTTCTAGTTAGGGAGGGGGTCAAATTGGCACGATTTGTTTTGGGCCAGTGAAAACTGTGCTATTGTTATAAGACGCGCATTACACATGTATATGGTTTTCAATTTATGTTGTATAAGTAAAAACCAGGACGGGATTTAAATATTGACCTTTAACATTGAAAAGAAAAATATGCATCATATAAAGAAACAAAACAGCATACTAGGGATGGATATCGTTAGGATTTTATCTATACCGGTATTTTTCGATACTGTTATCGATACTTTAATAATTTGGTGCTCAAAATTATAGACATGATTACAAGATGTGAAGATTAAAACAGTCATTTTATTGTAATTTATTTTTTATTTAATGTAGCTTTTTCAAATGTCATACCAAGCAGGTATGAGTGTGTTTGACAGTGTGTCTCTGGAAGGGGGGGCGGTAATTAGGGGCAGTTCATAAATCCATGTAAACATGACCATTATTAAGTTAAAACGAGACGCTGCGTGCGCACCTCCTAAGCCGGAAGCTCCGGTCGGCTAACCATTATAATCCATTTATTGCGTTTATTATTTATAATTGTAATGATGGATTATCAGTAATCATTTTAAAGTTACAGAGACATTGGATTAATTGTTTTTATGCCCTTGAACACAACTTTTGATCACAAAACAGCAAAGGTAAGACATAATTATCATCATGGCAACGTAAAGTGAAGTTGTTTTCTTGCTCTTTCCTGGCTGCTAGTTCAGTGAGTTTTGGTCGTACAGTGATTAGACAAATACCAATGGAATCTGTGGAATCTCAGCTTTCA